ATTTGAAAAACTCAAATGCATACTGATTCAAAAGAGTTTTCGTCAAAAGATTGAGGCTGAAAACATTAAGACATTAGAGACCAGTTAACAGATTGTTATTGCTTAAGAAGAATCAGACGAACTTGATGCGGAATCCTATGATATCTATATCTAATTAAAAAAAAGGTCTGTTAAGAACTGGTAAGAAGAGGTAATTATTTACTTACCCTACAGTTTGCCTAATGCATATGCATTCCCTATAGGCATGATTTCTATATGCACTGATTACATGAACGTTAAGGTCCTATAGGCAGGATTTCTAGATGACTTATATAACGTTAAACCCTATAGGCATGGTATCTAGATAACTTGAATCAGAAACATCGAACCATCTTATGTGCAGTATTTCTAGTAGAAAAATTAAAGTCCTAAAGTCATGATATCTACCCTTTATTGATGCAAGAAAGTAAAAACCCTCCCACACCCTTTTACTAGATTCCCCGAGTTCTATACAAGTAATTACAACCCAATGAATCAACTGAAATAATAAAAATACATCAAAAACTAATAGCTAGATCCAAGCGGCCTAATTCAATCTTAATGTCCAATAATATGTATTTAACCAACTCCGGGGTCCAGATCTCCAAAGCCTTCTCATTATCCAGGGCGTTTCAAAGTTTCAAGGAACCTCAGGGATTCCAGGCATTGCTTACACCCCGGATGCCATTATGAACAGGATGGTGCAGTGTGGAATAGCCAACCCTCAGGCATCCAAGTTCAGAGGGAGCTCAGGGGTCCCAAAGCATGGCTTGTAAGAGAGGGGCAGAACTTATAGCTAGGAGTAAGTGCAAAGTGAAAGGGAATTAAGGGGGCCATGACAAGTGGTGGTCATACCTAGCCATAAGGTAGGCTGGCACACCCCTGACCACTTGCTAGATGAACAAGTTAGGGGCAGACCTTTTGATGGTCAGACAAAGGTCTGGATAGTGATTAGGACACTATCAGACCTAAGTCAAGGCTCAAGCACATAATGGGGAGAATGGGAAGTGGGAATTGATTGAGTTAAGGAGTTCAATGAACCCAGTTCAGGATCATAGACAGAAAAATTGGGGTGCTGCTATGCCCTGAACAATAAACTCACATACAAAGGGGTAAAAGGGTAAAGGGGATTCACAGAGTATCAAATTCATGGCAAACAATTGATTACACACATAACTTAAATACAGAAATATAAAGGAGAGGGAAGCAAATATCAACTAAAGGAAATAGGCGGAATTAAACACATTGTTGTTGAGGCATGTAAACTAACTGAGACATACCAGTAGAGAAGCAAAAGAAGTGCAGAAGAAAGTAAAGTAAACACTGTCCACAGCAGCACAAGTATCAAAAGAGAGAGTTTTAAGTGAAATTAAATTGTGAACTCGGATGGTGTTCTGTGTTCGTATGTGTAGGAAAGTCTATGAAAAACCTCTTGTAAAAACCCCTTTTATAGTGCAGATGATGAGTAAGAAAAAGGTAAGAGAATAGTTTTGAAATCAATCACAAGCTGCTTCCCTTTGGTTAAGGGATTTGATTCAAACGGGCAAAATAAATAAGGAAAGGATTTGTTTTTAAAAATCTTTTCTAAAGCAGTGTAATAGGGACAAATACACAACAGTTTATTTAAGGAAATAGTCTAGTAGCACACGGTTTGGGCAGAACAAGGAAAGACAATTAATCAACAACCAGTAAAATCAGGGTTCGAATTTTAGTGTGAATGAATCCAACCAGAAAAGGTGAGAAGGGGTTTAATTTAAAGAAAATCAACAGTACAAAACCTTTTAAAAAGGAACTCGGAATCAATCACAAGCTGGCCAAAGGCCTTTTGAAAGAAGAGAATTTGTCATATAAAAAGCATACAGACATGTGAGACAATAGAGAGTTGTCATAAAATTAGCAAGAAATCAGAGTGACCAAGAAGGCTAGGTTCGTAGACTCAGAATGAGCCTCAAAGAGAGTCAAGGGTTCTGAATGGAACCCTAGACCAAACACAAACTCAAGCCTGCCAAAAACCCCAAATACTAGGGTTTCTGACTCGAATCAGATGCATAGACGAGAAAACAACACATAGAACAGGCTCAGTAGTCTCTTTCAGAGACTTATGAGAAAACAAACAGAGAGAGCAGCAAGTTTGAAACACAGGGAATACATTTAGGCAAAACATGCACACAAACAAGTTCAGGAGAGAAAAAGCGATACAGGTTTAGGAGAAACAGTAGACGGAACCTGCTTAGGGTTCAAACAAAAGTTCAGCAAAGGCAAACAAGGAATACAGTAAAGAAACATACGAGATAGACATGTAAAGCATGCTTACAGAGCCCGGTAAAAGAAAGAACAGAATACAAAAAATAGAAGAACATGCATAATATGGCAAAACATAAGAACATAGGAGCAGACATGCGAGGAAAGAACACAAGAACATGGCATAGATAGATTCACACAAAGAGAAGAAGAAGAAAAGTCAGAAGTCATTTTAAGATTTTCCGAAAACCCTAAATTGAAACAGACTAATTTTGAAAAGAAAATTGGGGAAAAGCTTTAAAACATTGAATATAGCACAGATCCACCATAGATCTAAGTAAATAAAAGAGGAAGGAACCTCGAATAGCCTTAGGGTTTCTCTGAAACAATGAGAAGGCTTGGAAGAGGTCTGGTCTTGAGTCAGAGATGGCCATGACTAGGCTTCTAAAGCTCGAATACGTCGGAATGGGGCCGGAGAGGCCACAAAACACAGATCTGCTGGGGATCTGAACGGACGTCGTCGAGGTCAGACCTCGAAATCTCGAACACTTATGGTTTAGGGGTGAAAGAAGGTGAGCACAGGTCGTCCATGGCCTGAAAAGCCATGGACTCCGGTGAGATGATGGTCGGAGAAGACGCGGGAGGCGATTAGGGTTTGAGTGTTTGAGAGCGTTTGAGAGAGAAGAGAGTTCGAAGGCGGCTGTCGAAGAGAAATGGGGATTAGGGTTAGGTCATGTGGAATTAAAATGGAAAGAATCATTTGTGGCTGTTGATCAAAAGGATCAACGGCCTGGATTTAAAAGAACCCTGGGCGGGTTTAGCAATTGGGTCATTTTGATTTGGGGGCGGATTGGGACAAAATTAAGGCTAAAATTGAAATGGAATTGGGGCTGCAATTGAAACGAAATGGGAGTACATTTTAAGGGAAAAGGCTCTAATATACCCCTCTACTTTGATAAATAGTATGTTCCTCTCCCCCGTTATACTATTAGGCCATTTAAAGGCCTACCGTTAGGAAAGTGAAAAAAAATACCCTTATTTTTAACCCCCGTCCAACAAGGCAATTAAAATGCCATCTGGAAGCCAACGAGGACAGATCCGACCCGTAACCCGTTCCACCTATTACTTAAAACCTTATTTACCCGTTTTTAATAAAGAAAAGGGTCATTTTTTCTTGTTAGGTGAGAGAACGACGGTGAGGCGATTTAGGATTCCTCCTATATGCATCAATTCTCTTTCATATTTTCTGTAAAATCCTTCAAAGGTATAGTTTTTTTTTTATTCTATTAAACTTGGTTGCTGTTATTTCTCCTATTTCTCCTATTTTCTTTGTTTTACCGATGTTAATCTTCTTTTTACTGAAGGTGATTTACGGTTTCTGTTAACCTTTATAGTTTAGTGTTTGCATGTGTGTTTTCTCGGATGTAGTGAGTCTCTATTATGTAGATTTTGTATGGCAGTTTGTTTAGTGTAGGGTTTACATGTGGGACTGCATTGTATCTCTTTTTGGGGAAAAGGAGGTTTTTCTTTCTGGGCAAAGATGATTGTATATGGTCCCCAAGTGGGACATTTTTCTGTTGTTCCTTTATTGAATGTTGTAAATTTTTGTTGTTTATTTAGAATTTGTGGTCCACCCGTAGATTTGTTTAATAATATCGAGACTCATGTGCCTGCCCTTTATTTCTTTATACTATTTTGTCTGATTCATATGGGAATGCCCTTTATTATATTCAATATTTGACATTAAAGTTTGTACTATTATATACTCTGATAAGTTTAAAATAAAGTCATCCCTTTATTGCTTTGTACTATATAATATTCATTTTTTGTTTACCATTTTCTCTTATTTATTTTGTAGGTTAAGATGGTGAATGTGGACTTGTTATTCAATTATGGAGGTGGCTGGAAAATAATTCCAAAAGTGTTATATATAAGAAAGTTGGTACACACTTGGAAACAGTATGATTCTGACCTTCTGTCTTTCATAGATGTAGTAAATGAATATACCTCATCTACTATAGGGTATGTTGGTGTCCAACAATTGATAATTTGTGGTCCTTCTGATAGATTTTATGAAATAGTAGGGGATGATGGTATTAGGACTTTGCAAAATATGGTTTCTGACCATTTCAATATAATTAATGTATTTGCTGTAGAGGATAGTGAAATGGGGATTCCTGTTCCTAATATTGTCGACCATAATGAATCACAAACAGTAGATTGTGAGGTTGCAACTGATTGTAGTTCAAATGAGAGTAAAGATGAGACAGTTTTTTCAGATTATGACTCTGATGATTTAGAAGTAATTGCACTACAAAAAAATAGGGAGATTTCTGAAAAGTTGACTTAATACAAAGAGCTATACAAAGGAATGACATTCAAAGATATACCTGAGGCTAGAAAGGTGATAAATTTGTATTGCTTAGCCAACTGTTATGGTCTAAAATAACTCAAGAGTGATAGCATTAGACTGAGGTACAGGTGTGAGGTTGGCTGCCCCTTTTTATGTCTAATTTCTGAGGATAAGAATGGTAGTGGGGTTAAGATCAAAACTCTTAAGTCAAAACACAAGTGTAACCCTGCATATGACAACCCTAGGATAGACAAAAAATACTATAGCAGAATATTTTAAGAACAAGCTGCAAGAGAATCCTATGATCAAAGTTAAGGAGATGAAATTGACCTTAAAAAATACTTTCAACATCAATGTTAGCCATGCAAAGTGTAAGAGGGCCAAGAGAATGATACTTGAATCCCTTGCTGGTAGTTTTACTGATAAGTATAATAAGATAGAGGCATATGCTAATGAATTGAGGCTGAGTAATCCAGGGAGTGATGTAATAGTTACCTTATCAAAGGATGCACTTGCTGAAGGAAAAAGAAGATTTTCTAGGATGTATAGCTATTTTCATGCTCTTAAAATGGGGTTTAAGAGTGGGTTGAGACCCTTTATTGGCTTGGAACCCTTTATTGGATTCGATGGAACCTTCTTGCAGGAAAGGCCAAAGGTCAGGTTTTAGTTGTTGTTGCTCTTGATTCAATGAATCATTTTTATCCTATTGCTTGGGCTGTTGTGGATAAAGAAACAAAGGTCACCTGGACCTGGTTCTTGACATTGTTGAACAATTCATTAGACCTCAAGCTAGGGGAAGGATACACATTCATGTCAGACATGCAGAAGGTACTTCAATGTTATTCTTTTCAATTATTGACTGTTTCCTTTTTATTTTTAGATGTTTAATTTTCTGCATCTTATATATGTAGGGCTTGATTGAGGCAGTTCAGGCAGTAGTTCCTGATGCACACCACAGATACTGTGTGAGGCACATAGAGGCTAACTGGTGTAGAAGATGGGGTGCTGGGGATTTGAAGAAAAAGTACTTATGGTGGTGTGCATGGAGTAGCTATGAAGCAGACTTCAAGGATCAACTGAAAAACTTGGGAGAAATTGATGAAAAAGCCGTCGAAGACCTGTTGAGGTATCCTCCACAATCATGGTGTAGAGCATACTTTGACACAGTATGCAAGAACCAACAAGTGGACAATAACCTAACAGAATCCTTCAACTCATGGATACTAGATGCTAGGCATAAGCCAATTATCAGAATGCTTGAAGACATAAGAGTTAAGCTGATGAATATGTTGAGAGAGCATGAAAGTGAAGTGCTGACTTGGACAGAAAATGTAAGTCCTCATACCATGCAGTTATATTACCAATTCTTGAATAGTGCACAAAAATGTACTGTTGATTCTAATGGAAAAGATGGATATGAGGTGAATGAAGGTACTACTGAAAAGCATAGAGTGAACATCAACCTGAAAAAATATACTTGCAGAACATGGGACCTCACTGGGATCCCATGTCCTCATGCAATTAGAGCATTACTATACAAAAAAGTGAATCCTGTGTCTGAGATTCATTGGTGGTTCACCAAGGAGGCTTATCTCTCCACTTATGCACATAAGTTAGAACCAATTAGAGGGGAGAAGTTCTGGAATATAGAGCCAACTCATGCAATGGATCCACCCCTGCTAGTGAATATGGCTGGTAGGCCTAAAGTGAAGAGGACTAGAGAAAAGAATGAGACAATAAATAGGCAAGGGGAGTGGTCTCAATCCAGAAAAGGTAGGGTGATGACTTGTTCCACATGTGGAAAGCCTGGGCATAATGCTAGGGGATGTCAAAAGGTAACCTGATACACCCTTACTGTATTACTTCTTAGCCGAATTAACATAGTGTCCTAATTTTGTTACTTTATATCTTTGACAGCAAAGCAAGGGAAAGCAGCCACAGGTTGGTAAGAAAACAAAAAAGAGGTCGAGGACAACTGTTGATGAAGATCATGAGGACAATATGGCTAGATCTCCAGCTGCTGCAAGGCTGCCCTTAGAAGAGGAGCTGCAACTAAACAGCACCACAAGCCAGTCAGGCCAGTCAAGCAAGCAACAATTCTGGACCTCAATACATGTTTATGCCAACACCATCCCTGTCTAGGAAGCAATCAATCAGCAATGCAGAAATGATTTTGACTATCCAGAAGCAGATTTTGACTACCAGAAGCAGACAATCCAGACCCACCTATAATGCCAAGGCGTGTGTCACAGGCAAAGACTAGACTCCGAAGGAGGGAGCAACTAGGCACAACAACTGGAACAAGGACTATTAACTTTGTTGGTGATGCCAGTGGTGTGAGTTTGCCAACAGAACTTCCTTACTCACCCAAAAATCTTACATGGAGAGGAAAAGCTGCTATAACAGGAAACCAATTAGAGAGGCAACGACTAGCCAAGATGAAGTCAAGGAAGGGAAATGGAAATGCACAGAACTAGTCAAGTTCTGAACATGTGAATGGTTTTTGGTGTCTTGATTGATATAATTAATGCATGTGACAGTACTTTTAACTTAACTTTTAGGTCCTTTAACTTAAACTTTTCAAGGTGGATGTCATTTTATTACTTGGGTGGTATCAGTTTTTTGGGTTATAAAGTAACATCCCTTTTGGGTCCTTTCAACAGAATGATGTGAATTATGTTGTCTATGAATGAAGTTATGTAATGTTATGTTTATGTTGCTGAAATGAAGTGTTAGCTGAATTTTAATGAAGTGTTTAGCTGATATTAATGAAGTTATGCTGACTGCCCAGTTATATATTTCATTATGTTTTTGTAATATGTTGTGTTTGTCACAAAGGGATATACATTACAAAGGGAATTATATTGAAGTTATGTTGTGTTTTTGATAAAGGGAAAGTATGATACAAGAAAGCTTTATACTTAAACAACAAAAATAACCAGTATTTTCATTAGTTGGAAACATTAACAATACAAAGCAGCTAAGTAGCAATGAAACCTAATATTAGACACCCTGGGGATTAGACACATACTACTCCCAACTAGAGCTAACATTACAATGAACACATCTCCTAAGCCAATCAGTTCTTCATTGAAGCAGCAACGAACCCCAAAAATAGTCTTAAATTATCAAAGAATGATCCCAATCTTGATACTTTCTCTTCCAATATTGCAACTTTAATCACTTGAGAATGGTTTTTAGCCTCCATGGAAGCTACTTCCTTCTTCAATTTCTCTATGTCCAACATAACAACATCCATTGTCGACCCCAATTCTCTATTTGCATTCATAGGATTAACTGGAAAACTTCATCTTCCCACAAGAAAAATCGACATGAATAATCCTGTCAATAACAATAAATTATATTTAGACTAAAACACTTATACTTTATACAACTAGGAAATAGAAAAAAACCAAACTTAGAAGATGAGACCAACAAACCTTAGGCTTAGGGCATTTATAAAACTTCCTTCCAGGATTAGAAATAGTTTTCAAAGTTAAGTTGCTTGCTATCATACCACAATGACACTTAATCTGATGAGAGACGAGAGTAGATGAGCTTCCTTGAGACATTTCGCAATCGAGAAAAGAAGGAGAGAAGATGAGCAAAAAAATTCTCTGATATGAACCCTAGAATTTATGCCTATGGTGGTATTGGGAAGAAGAAGCATCTAACGGGTTATATTACGGGTTACGGGTCGGACCTGTCCACGTTGGCTTCCAGATGGCATTTTAATTGCCTTGTTGGACGGGGGTAAAAATAAGGGTAGTTTTTTTTCACTTTCCTAACGGTAGGCCTTTAAATGGCCTGATAGTATAACGGGGGAGAGGAACGTACTATTTATCAAAGTAGAGGGGTATATTAGAGCCTTTTCCCACATTTTAAATAGCCAGTTTTTCCCTTTTATTTTATAAAAATAGTGAAAATGATTTTAAAAGAAAATTGAGGATGCTGAACCAATTAATAATACATATGTATTAATTTAAAAATATTAGAGCTAATTTTACAATTATAAAACACTATTAATCGTAAAATAGGCTATAATTGCCTTTATATGCAATTAGCTTTAAAAATAGCAAAAAAATTACCTTAATTATATTTGGTGTAAATATGAGAATAAAATGAGTTATTCACAAAAATGATAATTTTGGGAATAATTATTGGATTTTGTACTGTTAAAATAGATAATAAATTGATTTAAAATACGGAAAAATACCAAAACTCTTGGGAATGCTTATATATGCATGTATATGCTATTTTGAGGATATTTTGAGTATATAAAATACTTAGGGAAAAATTGTGTTATCAACAGCTGCCCCTCTTTACCCGGGAAGGATGAAAGAGTTGTCGGGTAAAGATATGATGGCCAATTTTGATCGGAAGTGGCGATTTTCAAAGAATTTGACCGAGCTCTGGTTTCTGAGCTGCCTACATATCCCTGATTTTACAGGAATCAGGTCATATGTAGTTCAGGAACCATTGACGGAACATGCCGATGGAGATTCGAAAGGACGGACGCGATGCTTTTGGAGAGGCAAGAGGTATTTGGGAAGCTGATCAGCTGCGAGAACCAGAGCGGGACCGCTCCTGCTGAAGCACCATTGTTAGCCGCGTTGTACCTGCAAGGTGAGCAATATAGGCGTATATTGTGCATAAACTAAAACATGATGCAAGTTCCCGTCGGACCATGAATGCTGTCCTCGGACGGTTAGGATGACGTCCTCCGGACCATGATGTCCTGGGCCATGAAGCGCAAAATTAAGGATTCGCAGGCTATGAAATGATGTTCTCGTGCCATGATAATGGGTGCCTCGAACCATGATGCCTTTGAATAATGATGTGCAAGATATAAAGTGGGTCCTCGGGCCATGACATGGTGTTCTCGGGCTATGAGGATGATGCCTCGAACGATGACACCTTTGGACAATTTGCGATATTTTCAGCCCATTGAAATGCAAGGTTTGGCGGTATTTCAGCCGATGCAAACGTAAATGGCGATGTTTCGGCCGACAAAAAGATTTAAAACAAAACAGGCGATGTTTCAGCCGATGTGAAAATAAAACTGGCGATGTTTCAGCCGACAGAAGATTGAAATAAGGTTTTGGCGGTATTTCAGCGATGCAAAAACGTAAATGGCGATGTTTCAACCGACAGAAGAATTTAACAAAACAGGGCGATGTTTCAGCCGATTGAAATAAAACTGGAGATGTTTCAGCCGACAGAAGATTGAAATAAAGTTTGGCGATATTTCAGCCGATATGAAATAAAATGGAGATATTTCAGTCGATGCAAAAAAGTAAAATGGCGATATTTCAGCCGACAGAAATTTAAGTAAAGTTCGGCGATATTTCAGCCGATTGCAAGACGTCGAGGTGGCGATATTTCAGCCATGCAAGAAAGGTAAAGTGGCGGTATTTCAGCCATGCAGGTGGAGGTAGAGCTTAACCTCGGAAGGCAGAAAGGTAGCCTTATGCAATACAGGGAATGCAGGATGGAGACAACGCTTAGTCTCGGAAGGCAGGAAGGTAGCCTTATGCAATGCAGGAAATGTAGATGGAGACAACGCTTAGTCTCGGAAGGCAGAAGGGTAGCCTTATGCAATGCAGGAAGTGCAGATGGAGACAACGCTTAGACTCGGAAGGCAGAAAGGTAGCCTTATGCAATGCAGGAAATGCAGATGGAGACAACGCTTAGTCTCGGAAGGCAGAAAGGTAGCCTTATGCAATGCGGGAAAATAACAGGCGAATAGTAATGAAATCTCTTAGCTGATAGATGACGACCGATAACTGGTTGTGTGGTTTTGGCTGCTGGGTGCCGTTGTGCGGATAACACTTGCAAATAAGGTGTGATTCTGAGAAGTTGTATTCCTAAAAAATATGAGTGCATAATCTTAATGATTTTGCGACCTGAGCGCCTGCATCCAAAGAAAAATCGTTGAGTTTTGTAAAAAAGGGGGAAGGTTAGTTCGTCTTCCCGTGGCTTCCGCATTGCGCAATCGTGGGGGTTAGCGTCGCTAAATAGTAGCAATTCGAACAATAATTATGCATGATTTAAGTAAATATAGCATTAAGTAGAAAACGGTTTTGTTTAGATGAACCAACGACTGCAACGTGGTTCAAAACATTTGCAACCTTCCTTGCTCCGGAATTTTGAGGGTCCTCCTCAAAATTCTGCCCCAGTTTACTAGGTTGGCACTTTCTGACGGCTGCGCTGAATGACTGAAGCATCAACTTTCGCGAATTTGAGGGTCCTCCCTCAAAATTCATGCCCCAGTTTACTGACGGGTGGCATCCCTGGCGTAATGAGTGGCTGAAGACTAACTTCGAATTTTTGAGGGCCCTCCTCAAATTCTTGCCCCGTTTCCAATAGTAGGGGAAATGAATTTTTATTAAATTGTGACCGAAACCCATTAGGCTGCCTACGTATCACCCTCTTACAACGGAATCACGTCAGGCGTAGTTCAGATTACATCATAGAGAAATCATAGGTGGTTACACATAATATTGTTTCACTGCATCTGAGTTGATGGCTTTGGCCAGACTTCTCCATCCATCTCTGCAAGAATAAGGGCTCCTCCAGTTAGAACCCGGTGAAAACCAATGTACGGACCCTGCCAGTTGGGAAAGAATTTTCCCCTTGGTTCATCTTGATGTGGGAATATCTTCTTCAACACCAGCTGCCTCGGTGTAAACTTCCTGGCCTTAACTCTTTTGTTGAAGGCTCTGGACATTTCTGTTTTGGTACAGCTGACCGTGGCAAACTGCATTCATCCATTTTCCCATCTATAAGGGCTAGCTGCTCGTAGCCAACCTTTTACCCATTCTGCGTCGTCCAACTCTGCTTCTTGTATGATCCTCAGGGAGGGAATTTCTACCTCGACGGGGATGACCGCCTCTGTACCATAAACCAGCATGTAGGGAGTTGCTACCGGTCGATGTGCGGACTGTGGTGCGGTATCCTAGTAGGAAATTGTAACTTCTTCATGCCACTTTTGTGACTTTCGACCATCTTCCCTTAGTATCTTTTTGATGTTTTTATTGGCTGCTTCTACGGCTCCATTCAATCTGAGGTCTGTAAGCTGTAGAATTTCTTGTGTTTAATCTTTGAATGCCTCACACCATTGCTTTCATTAAGTCACTGTT